TCTCCTTAGCATTCCATAATATGAAATGTTTACAAACATTATTGAGCATTGCCAAAAATAAATTTTTTTGGAAAGAGCCATACATATTCATTTTGTAAATGAGTTGCTGTTCTTTGTGAAACCTCATACTCACCAAAATTCATACCATCATTATATTGAGATGCTAAAAATATTCCAAAACTGGTATAACTTGCTTTAATTATTTGTAAATTTGGAAATAATGGTTGCAACCACCACGTATGGTTATTATCCAAATCATTACGAATTATTAAAGTTTTCAATTTTGGTAAATTTGATATTTGAAAAAAGTTTAATCCTTTCAAATTATCTGAATAAATTGAGAGTGTAGTTAGTGAATTAAAAGTAAAAGATATTTCACTTTTAAATTCCAATCTAATATTAAGATATTCTAAATTTGGTAATTTACAAAGTAATTTCAAATCAATATCCCAAATAGGCTTACGAAATGTTAAATCTCTCAAGGTTGATATTTTAGAAATGTGATGAAATATATTCTTGTTATATTTTAAAGAAATTTTAAGAATTAATATTTCTAAATTTAATTTACTCAATTCTGATAAATCAATATTATATTGAGATTCAAAATAAAAATATTTAATATTTTTAAATGATTCCACATTTAATCTATCAGGTAAATGAGTTTCATTTATAAGATTTAAATGTAAATATTTTAGAGATGGCATTTTCACATTAGATGCTAAATTCCATGGTTTTGAATAGTTTGCAGTGGAATAAAACTTTTTTTCATATTCATCTATATATAATAATTCTAATGAAGGAAGATTATCTATATTTGTCATCATTTCGGTTCTATTTAAAAATAATTTTTTTAAATTTTTTAAATTTTCACTAGAATTAAATTGTAATTTTTCAATAAATTTTCTATTAGTTCCAAATCCAAATTCTTGTAATTTTGAAATATTATTTGAATTTAATACATTACTAATTGATTCCAATGTATAAATATAGGTAATATCAAGAAATAAATATTTTAAATATGGAAATGAATTAAAATCAAATGTAAAATTATTTAATTTTCTATTACTTGTTGGATT